AACTATTTCTTGAGAACCACTCCATAGGATAAATACCCATTTTAGGAGCCAACGATGGGACGCTCAACGATAAATCAGCTACCGCTAGGATGATTTGTTAAAGAGGTGAAGTCGTCCCTGGTGATCGAAACCTGTACCATCCCTCTCACCACGGATTTTGACATCAGCATACGCATAAAAGCGTTTCCAGTTCACTCCGTCTAGGGTGTACATGCCAAAATAGAATATCACTTCCGCGAAAAGGCCCCTCTCACGTCTTTCTGCATGGTGGGCCATCTTTACGAAGCCAGGGTGTTTTGGTCCTGGGATGTAGGCACGGGCTTTACCAATTCTTTCCGTGTATGCTTTCACCGACCCCCAATTCGGTACATACGCCTCGATAGCTAATATCGTACCGAAGGTAAGTTCCTTGATATTTGTTCTGGGCGGAGGTATATATCCGCCGGATGCGCTGAAGTACGGGATGGTGAAGTTTATGGTGAGCTTCATTCCACTTGGGAGATCAACACGGAACGAGAACGTCCCGTTTGCCTCGGGAATATCAAGATTCAACTGTCCCGGAACAGATGAGTCTATCTGGAAGACCACAACCAGTTGATTGCCATCTAATGACTTCATAATTGAGCCCATACGAAGCTGAGTGGAACTCTGCCGGGCATACAAACAGGCGCTCATGTCGGCAGTATGCTGCAAGCAGTCAGGTGGGTCCTCGAATACAATAGCCGGAGGGGAATGAACCTCAGGCACCGGACCTGGCTTGGGACGAGTATCACTTCCGTCGGCGTAGATCGAGATGGCGGTGTGGATGATGAGGATGAGCAGTCGCATAGTTCACCTTGTCGAGATACAGTAAGAATGCCCGTTCGAAGATAGCTATGATGTGTAGCGTTCTCCCGTGTACTCACGTGACACACGTCCGTCGCCGCCGTAATTGATCTCTGATCAGCTTGACACTGTTAAACGAGGCAAATGAGGTTTTTCTGTCGAGAGGGACCGACTGTAGGGTAGATACGATTCTCGACGATTACTCGAAGACAGCCCTGGCGGCAGTCAACCTTCACGGAGAAAAGGCGCAATACAGCGGCAACACGGGCGCAATCAATACATTCTACCGAGTGCGCTCTTGAGTTCATCGACTCCAGGAATGGAGGAGCAACGTGAGTTGTGCGTGTACGATGGGCGCGTGATTTGCTTGGAGATGCGCGAACCGCGAGAGACATGTCACAAGTGGCACAAGCGAGTAGAAGGACGAACACGATTATCACGTTAACAAGGACTACCTCTCATACCGTACAATGGCAAGACACTGTGCTGAGCGCAATAAGAGGTCTATTCACACACACCTCGCGGAACCACATACTGCAACAACAGGCGAGTTCGTGTGAATTGTCACGCGGCACGAAATTCCAGGCAACGTGCGTGCCATTGGGATGGTGTGGGGCCGATATGCCATGTATACGGCAGCGGTCATGTATCGCGGTCACCACGGTCTCACTGCAATTAGCAGTAGGTGAAAAATGCCTGGCATAGCGGCCCCATTATGGGGCCCCATAGCGTCTACACTGTAGACTCTACAGCATTTCAAGGTCAATTTAATATTTTACCCAAATTTTTGATCATTCAACCACTTCTTTTGGAAAAATACCATGTTTTTAATCTTTTACCGATTGATTTCAACTTATTACCCAAAATTTCAATATAATAGCTAGTCTTTTCAAGAACTTACTCACTTCAATTAACGACGTTAGTTTCGGCTACACGGGCGATCGCAACTTAGTTACACGTCGCCTACTTCGTGCAAAATACCGCGCATAGGACGCAGGTATGCACATTCGCGAGTCGCAAATTGCGACTCATACTGTACCGATATGAAACTGCTGGGGATCTGTATCCGTGTATGAATACGTGTCTAAGTGCACCGGGAAGAGGCCTCACGGTGACCTCTCAGGCGTCAGAGGCTAACGGGCTCACACAAGGCAGGGTTATAAGCAGCAGAAAATAGAAGTATCTTAAGAGCGATGGGCCTCCCCGAGTCCGACTCAGAAGTCGTGCTTTTGGTTGCGCAGGCGAGGTTCTATGAAGAAGGAAGACTCCGGTGACTGACTCGTACGAGTTGTAAATTACAACTTGTAATACACATCTGTGATGAGAGGCAGCTCAACCCTGGGAAGTTCACATAGGCAGAGGATAATGCTCCATCGCACAACAGAATTGAAACCAGACCACAGCATTATATAGCAACACACCCACACCGGGTGTGGGTGTGTTGCTATTGCTATATAATTTTGAAGTTATTCCCGCGGACCGAGCGTCATTTTTGAAGTGTCGCGGCGTGGAGTGGATAAACAACGTTTCTTATGTATTGTCACGTGTGATGATCATTGCCGTCCCTCTGCAAAGCAAGTATTTCACGTTCCGTATAATCCCGTCACAGGAAACTTACCTCTCCAAGTAAATCATATTTCACCTGCAGTTATGTCGTTCCGAACGATAAAACTGGGTGAATCCTGATGACTGAATAGCTCGTGGCAGTTATATCGTGAAGCGCAGAGTAATGGCGGCCTCAGTTGTTTCAATTTATCAAAAGGAAATAACTGGGGCTCTATGTCTGTTCATCAATCACAATGTCACGCTTCGCTCAAAGAATATTGTTCTGATATTGTCCGTCATTTGGGAGAGTTCTATCGTACTAAGCAGTTGCCATTTCATGTGTTATTAGAACTGCTATCTGCCGAATTATGTTGTAGCGAGGAAGATACAGCATTGTCTTTATGCGGAGCTACTGCTATTGATTCAGTAGATGTCATTAAGTTACGTGATGAAAGAACCAAGATGAAAACGAAAGAAGCATATTCCTTCCGGTATGTGCATTTACTGACTTATCATGGTAGTAGGCCTCGTACACCGTTATCCATGAAGAAGAGTTCTTACCATTTGAATGTTGATTGGTCGTTAAAAGTGTGTAGTACCTTCGTACGGTTGCTTTTCACTATCGGTAGTCTGCTTCGCTAACATCTATATTGTTGCATCATATGTCTGGAACTTCTTTATGTATTCTAGAAGAAAAGTGGGTGAAAAGATTGATACCAAATTTGTATCACCAATATTTCGAGATTTTATCTCTACGCATTATGCTCGAGGGAGCGAGATTGTAGGTTGGTCTCAGTTTAAGAAGATGAATATTCTGTTATTAGAATCTTGGGTGAAGCAACAAAAGATAACTGAGCGCTTGTATGTGAAGGTTTCATAGGAAAGCAAGTTCAAGCAAGTGCACGAAATGAGAAATATGTTGGTGTATTCTGATGTAAAATCTCACGAATACGGGTATGCGGGAGGAAATTGAAACACGAAACCCGAACACGAGCCTTGTGACTCTGTGGCGAGTTAGTTTCGGTTTTCCATGTCATAGCGCTAGTGAGTTTTAGACCGCTGTAGGTCTTGGATGGTCAAACTAGCAGATAATACTCACTTGTGTGACCATAGTTTGTGAATGTGGAGCCCTTCGCCGCCTAAGCGTCGGCGACACATGATGTCAAATAAAATGGGTTAGAACGATCGACATCATGTAGGACAGCCTATCTAACCGTCCGATCGGGACATTTATGGTCATCAAGTGAAAAGCCTGTACTAGTAGTACAGTACTACAGGTGTTCTGGTAGTATACAATCCATATGTCACTGGCGATTGACATCGCCGTACTCAGGGTTGGTAGTGGGTGGGTTAAAATTTCAGAATTCCCTTGTAGACCGATACCCACGCCGTGGGTCCCACGGTCATGTTCGCAAGTAGCTCAGCTAAGAGCCGTACTACTATTGCGAACTACAACTTTACTCTAGTGATCGCTAAGATGCTTCAGCGTTACACAATTGTGTCCCAATCTTTAGAGTGCGTTGCGTTTGTATGGGCGTGCGCGTGGTGATACCCCCTTCCTGGGATTTCACAGGCACTACATTCGTTAACTCATTCCGTTAGTCATTATCGTTCGAACTGTATGTTGTGAGCTCCTCCGCGTTTAGCTTGTCTCGTTTCTTT